GAAGCACCTAGAAAGTTACAGTATATTAACGGATTACCAGCATGGATTCAGAGCCAAACGATCCACAGAAACACAGCTTATACTAACAGTCCATGACATAGCTGGCGCACTAAACAGTAAACGGCAGGTAGATTTAGCAATACTTGATTTCACTAAAGCCTTTGATAAAGTCCCCCATGGCAGGCTCATCTCAAAACTGGAGTATTATGGAATCCAAGGCCCTACGCTGAATTGGTTAAAGGCTTTCCTGACCAACAGGGAGCAAACAGTAGTGGTTGAAGGGAAGGCGTCGGCTCCAGTTAAGTAGCGTCTGGGGTCCCTCAAGGAACCGTCCTGGGGCCATTGCTCTTTCTCTTGTATATAAATGACCTACCAGATCAGCTTGACTCAAATGTGAGGTTATTTGCCGATGACTGTCTATTGTATGTAGAGCTTTCTACACAGACCGACTCACAACTTCTCCAAAAAGACCTGAACACCCTGGAAGAATGGCAAAGCAAATGGCTCATGCAGTTTAATCCCGAAAAATGCTACATTATGCACATAACAAACAAACGAACACCACATGCAACTAGCTACCAGTTTTGTGGTCAGGCTTTAGCAACCACAAAAATCCATCCGTATCTGGGCGTCACGCTGACAAGCGGACTGATGTGGGGTGCACATGTTAATAATATCACAACTAAGGCGAAACAGACATTGGGAGTGATTAAACGTAATCTGTGGGCATGTCCAACGAGAGTAAAATCACTTGCATACACGTCACTTGTAAGACCGAACCTAGAATACGCTGCGACAGTATGGGATCCATATACAAAGAAAGACAAAGACAAATTGGAAAGGGTACAGAATCAAGCTGCAAGATTCTGTATGAACAACTATGTAAGAGGTGCTAGTGTCACGGAAATGAAAAGAAACCTACAGTGGACCTCACTTGAAGACAGAAGAAAGATGTCTAGACTATGCATGATGTACAAAATGACTAATAAACTGGTGGATGTCCCAACTACTAAGTACCTAATACCAGCTCAGAAGAGAACAAGAAATAGCCACGCATTCAAGTACCAGAGTTATCAACCAAGGATTGAGGTGTTCAAGAATTCATTCTTTCCTAGAACTATCGCAGAATGGAACTCACTGTCACCAAGTACAGTAGGGGCACTGTCAATAGATAGCTTTAAACAATGTCTAGAGCTAGAAGTTCGAGGGTTAGGTGTAACAAGTCGATCGGTGTAATATAGCCAGCTGCCGCCGCGCCGCGTGCCTGCGAAGCTGGTGTGTTACGCCGAAAGGCGGTTATACCGGCTATACAGATACAGATACAGATACAGAATAGACGCGGTAGGGAACCCCGCAGTGTTGAGTGACGCAGTCACAGATATACCACGATAGGTATCCCAGAAACAAGTTTTATCGTAATATGTCATGTTCCGACATAATTTCTGGTCATCTATGCCAATGCATTTCTACTGTTATGCAAAAAAGAAATCTTAGAATAACCATGAAAGACCTTTATTGTACATTTTTGCTCATTGCGAACTAAGTACAGGTCACGGCAAATAGCGATGGTAGGCTAAAATATATCTATAGTAAAACCATATGTACAGGTTCTGCTTCTTCTCGCTTCTTATATTAAAGACAGTTGTACATGTAGGAACAGATGGAGCTTATAGTACGACTGAAGATATACAGTACGTAGATATACAAGACGTCATTGTAGTTCATCGAATTATATAGTATATCTTGGCACCTATATGTAGAACTATAACAGATCTTAGCCAGTAATTTAGTCAACAGTTTTTGAAGCATCGTACTCTTAGAACGTTAACCTTCATAGTATATATATACAACTGCTCATTGTACTATTCATAAATATAGTATAGCGTAGATTAGCACTTACATGTACGTGTATAGACGTATTAGTTCTTAGTCAGTAGTTCATATATATATTCAACATTCTGCCAGAAATAGATATCTATATGTAGAATTGAATGTATATGTAGAATTTTGATAGACCCATACCACAGCTTGTAATCTTATTATCTGTCTGCTACAATCGTTGTACAATAAACTTTGACTTGACTTGTAAATCACGCCCCCTAGCGGCGCTCCAAACGATAGCTGCAGTACTCAAGGCGAAGAACGCTTAGGTTCCAAACAATGAGAGTTTGTGTTAACGTTAGACAGACAACCTCGGCATAGGCGCCGCCGGTCAAAAGTTCACCTGTGTCAGAGTTGACCTATTGGTGAAGCTGATGGCACTTGATTTACGATAAAACCGCGTAGTCGTAGACACACATGTGTACAAGCATACTAGTAGTACTCGTACAACCTGTATAGTATATATACAACTGCCCATTGTACCCTTTATAAATACAGCGTAGCCTAGCACCTGAATGTAGAGATGCACTTAGTCAGTTAATCTCCAAGCAGATGTTTAGGTGGCCGCAGTTGCTAATGGATACTGCTTGGCCAATTTGATACTGTCTTTTGCGGCCACCTAAACATCTGCTTGGAGATTAAGATAAGAGTATATCTAGCGTAAATTTCTTTTAAAAGTTCTTCATTTAATCTCGTGATAACTTGTAAGAATATTTGAATTCTCAATGGCTATTGTTTCACTTGAAAAAATTGCTGAGTAAGAATAGAATGAAATGCATGGTCTCCAGATGAAACTCAAAGTTTCACAAACTCATATTATGGTGGCACTAGAACTAGTTTTATAGACATACAATTACTAAACACATTCAACGTATTACACAACGTTTGATATGCATTAGCAAACATATTAGTAGCTAATATCGTCGTTGCTGACGTATACTGCACACTACATGAGTATCTTATACATGTATCATTATTGCTGACTAATATTGCACATCACTAACTGTTGCCAGAATGGTAGAAGTCAGCTAAAATTTCCATTTGTTTTCTTAATTGGTGCAAATGTGCTGCATAGACAAAAGGCCCGGCTATTGGATGCCCCGCTGTTAAGTAGGGGATTTTCAAAGGCAGCGTTTCAATAGGTAGGATTATAGCGTAATCCACCTGTAAAATCTGCCCATAATCATTTCTTTTCAGTCGCAGGTGCCAAAAATAATTGTCTCTTGTGATGTAAGCATATCATTTTCAATCAAGTGGATAGCTTATGGTTACTTTTTCAAGACCTGTTTTTGTCTGTGGTCGGTACAAATCTGTGATATAGAAAGAAATAAAAACGATGTTATGATTGATCTAACATTGGTAATCATGCCCTAAACATTACGTGGGGTCGTGTGGCGTAGCGGCAGAGTGCTCTACTCGGAACAAAGAGGTCCCGGGTTCGAGTCCTGACATGCCACCGATCTTGTGCCCTTGGGAAAGGCACTTTACACGACTTTTCTCACTTTGCTCAGGTGAAAATGAATATTATATTGTCCCCTGTGTTGGAAAAAACTTGAGTGTGACGTCACCAAGTCTTGTGACTACATGTAAATGTTGGAATATATAAAAAAACGACAAGACAATAGGGAACGCGGCCTGGCGGTAACTAAGGAGGATGACACACAGGCTGCCGACGCTCCACGACTCAAGAACGTATGCATACGTATAGTGCCGATTCATAAATTTGTTTTTATGGCTTTTGTTTTTATTCACCCGCGCACACTAGTTTGGGGGTTCTCGGAGGATTTCATCCGTAAAATTAGGGTAGTATGGCCTTATCCTTTTCATCTATTAGATAAGGAAACGAAGTGGCTCTTTCTTCAAGCGGCTTGTAAACACAGTGTGGTTGGACTGGGGTCCGGAGTTTTGTTTCTGTTATTCTATGCAAAAAGTTAGGAGCGCGCATTTTGGAATGTCTACCAGGTGATATTTCAGAATAACACTGTTAACCAAGATGCATTGCATGTGGACGTATAACAGCCTAGAAACAGTTGCTGTGTAGATTGTTCATGCTTCTTTGTATCATAATTTGACCATTTTTTTCACACCATTTGCCTTGCCTATAAGTATGAGCTTCGGCACACGTTCCACAATATCAAAAACAAACATCTTTTAAATTTGTTCTTTGAGCTGAGACAATTAATTTATATTGGCTCACGGTGTGTGCTAAGACTAGGCGTTTAAAGGATTAGTGGGGATTAGAGTTCGTTAAAATGGTAAACACCCTACCCTTCAAATAACTGTAAGAACTGAGATACACGTATGTTGTTGAGATAACATACACTCATGTATGTTATATCAATGTTTTTATAACCAATTCCCTCTGTGTCGGCTAGCTTATGCTATCGGTCACGTGTATTATATGAAATCTACTGAATATATATGTATAAATAGATGTTGTTGCACAATTCATCACCGATGGATATCAATAAAACTATACAGAGTGGCGACTTAGGCTTCGCTGTAACACTGCTGATGACAACCATCCCTTTACTTTATTTAAAATACACCTGTAATATGAACCGTAACTACACTACACAAAACAAACATTATGTTGTTCATCACCAATTCTATGAAAAATGACTTTGAACTCTAAAATATAAATCTACCATTACACCGTTCTTGAGAAAGCTATTTATAGATTCTATAGTATCTATATTCTATACTCAGTAAATTTTGTAGAACAGATGCTACAACATAAAGATAGACGTTGACCCCCTTTTTTGGACGGATTTGATAAGGGCTGAGTCTTATCTATACCAATTGCAATTGTTTCATTCAATATATAATATAGAAATGTGCGCACAAATAAAGCACCTAGCTATTTAACAATTTAACATTTGTTATCGATACCTTGTCTTTTAAAGGTATCCAATGCAATCCGGTTTTACTGTCCTGAATTGCATTGCATGCCTTTAAGGAATACAAGCCACCTCAAATGTAGATAAAGGTCTTCGTGAAGACATGCTTGCATAAATCAGTTTACCAATATATCGGCATTAATGACGATCTCTGTACAAGTCCAGCCCACGCCGATCAGAGTCTGTAGTTCCACCTCCGACAAGAGTACAGCGCACGGTGTAGTTTTGATGTCATTGTCAGGAAATCCAGTTGCTTCCATATTACAGATGTCTGTATGACAGCTTCATCGAGTTGAGCCCTGGGCTATTTCTACTGATTGTTTGGACTCGAGGGTTTTAAGCCACCACCAGTGATGAATAGAAGTTATATAAGATACGGACATTCGCTGCCACTGTTTTGAGTAGCAAACATGAAGTTGCTGCTACACTGGTAACTTGACAACAATAGGGCAACGCGTTACTCCTACTTTTTTCATCGTTTTGTTGGAGCTTGTTCATGTTTTCTCGACGTACAGCCCCTGGATCTCTGAAGACACGTGTGCATCACGTAACTCCGCTGCTGTGGACCATTTCACTGCAATTGCCCACTGGAAACAACCGGGGGACAAAACAAAAATAAAGTCAATTCTCAGAAACAAAGAAAAAAAATTAGCAAGCAACGCTGACTGAAAACCCCCACCCTTCTCCCTTGGCACAATCACAGATATCTTGTCCATAAGCTGTCAGAAATTTGTCAGAAATTGAGGTTAAAACACAATCAAATGATCGAAAGAAATGCCTGTACCGATTATGTGAATGTAAAGGATGAAATACCTGGAATAACATGGGGGCATAGTCTCGTCAAGCACCAATGACTAAATAGTATATTGTACTGGCTAATAAGACCTATTCTGTAACTTTTTGTATCTAAAAGATCTTCGCAATACAGCACAATAATCACACAAAATAATACTTTAAGCATACCTTAAAGCATACGGAAATGCTCCGTTTCTTCACTCCCATGTACCTTTACGGATGCTTTCGTGCGCTGCAGCGCAGTGCAGTACAAACAACGGCGATAGTCACCTTGTTCAGTGCCGGAGAACGAACATGCAGACCCCGTCCTCCTGAAGCCCGGTCCTGAGTACTACTCTGCAGCTGTACGACAGGCTACTAGTAACCGCTTGTAACGCCTGAAGGCACGGCTGGGACAGGCTAACCCTCTCATAGCTTGTCTTCCCTTCAATTATAGCCAGGCGCCATTTGCTTAATTACCTGTCTCTAAAGACGGCTTGGGTCGTGTGGCGCAACGAGAGAACGTTCGGCTCGCAACCAAGAGGTCCCGAGTTCGAATCCTGCTAGGTCACCCTTGTTGAGCCCATGGGAAAAGCACTCAACACTAATTTCCTCAGCTTACTCAGGTGAAAATGAGTATGTCTGTTGTCTTTTCATGCGTTTGTTCATTGCCGCATAAAAAAAAAGTTGAAAAAACTTGAGTGTGTCGTTGTCATGTCTTGTAAAAAATGTTAACGATTTATGAAGCGAACGACATATGGCGCCGCCTAGCGAATAAAGATATTACGGCAAGTCCATTGAATCTCTGCGGTCAGGATTGAAGCAGTATGTTTTCCTCTGAGACGAAGCGCTGCAGTAAGCTTGTAGTGTCAACTTTGACAAAGCTTCTGTATAAACAAGACTGGATCAAATATATTAATGGCGCCACCTAGCGAATAGTGATATTACGGCAACTACATTGTCTTCGATCTGAGGTCCAGATTAAAGCAGTATGTTTTCCTCTGAGCCGAAGCGCTGCGGTAAGCTTGTAGTGTCAACTTTGACAAAGCTCCTGTATAACAAGACTGGATCAGATGTCTGTGGTGCGCCTTCAACACTAGTGTTCTGCCCTGTATTTTGTCTACAACCAAATCCATGGCGACCGCGTAAACTTCACGGTCCGGTTGATATTTGCACACCTTTTCGGTCTTCAGTATCCAGATCTAGAGCTGACCAAGATCGGAGAAACGGCGTCAAATATGAAGATAGACGTTAATTTGGCACTGAAGTTAGCAGAGTTGGTAAGTCTGTGATCCTGCATGCATCTTTATTTGTATCTGTGTAGCCGGTATCACCGCCCTTCGGCGTAACACACCAGCTTCGCAGGTACACCGACCGACTTGTTATACCTTAGCCCTTAAACATCTAACTACAGGAGATGGTTAAAGCTATCAAGTGATGATGCTCCTACTGTACTTGGTGGCAGTGAGTTTCACTCTTAGTTCTTGGAAACTAGCACCTCAATCCTCCGTTGATAATTTTGGTTAGCCTCTTCCAAGCTCTGGAGGCGACAAACTGTTCTCTCCAGCAGACCGACTCCCCTGGCATGTTATCTCTCTATTTGGCTGATTTCTACTCTTTCCAACCGCCTCCCGAAGCCTGCTAGAGCCTGGTAGAGGCTAAACTTTAGCATTTCTTGTTCTTTGCGTTATGTCCACCAGGTCATGATCAATACAAACAATCCCAAACATTCTTGTGAGATTTCATACTTCAGTCCATTACGTTTGCAGTTAGGAAGATTATTACCGATGTTTCTTTTCTACAGGTCTTTGGTCTCCTTGGCTGGACTATCCTGTCCTCCGTACACAGTCTGTTCTCGTGGGGAGGGCAACACTGGGTGATGTTCGTCCTGGTGACATGCTGGTTCATAACTCTGGCACTCCTCATCTTGGAGAAATCTAAATACTTCTCCAACCGTAAAGTCGTACGTATCTGCTGTCTGATACTGTTAGATTTATATATACATGTATGTATAAAGGATATATTTGTGGCACCAGTTATATTTAGCATAAGCCATTACTTTCACAAACGTGAAATATAGGTACCAAATTGAAAACAAAATGTACAAAATAATATCCAGTACAGTTTTTAGGACCTGGAAATCCGATTTTTCAAAGTAAATATTCTAGTCACTTATCTACATAGTTGAAACTACGCTATCCAAATATACATATTGCATGACCCTCATGGAGCAAAAATACCCAACATTCTGATGGAAATGGTCCTTGGTTGATTTTTAGGGTACCACCCATAAAATAAAGGACTCATCCTGGGGCTTGTTTCTGCAGTTTTAAATGCCCAAAGTCTGAAATGCTGACTCAAATGTGCTAATGTGAAGCAGTATGTGTCAATATCACAAAGATTGCCTCGTTCAGAATTCGAATATTTCCAGTTTTGCTGCTCTGAAATCGCATTGGATGTCTTTAACAATCGTCAATCTTGCCATTAAACAAAGGCCCTTCGTACAGATCCTTATATATGGAATGCGCCATATTTCAGAACTTGGTCTACGCCGTCACAGCCGCCTTGCTCTACGTCATCGCTGCAGTTGTACGGTGCGTCAATGCCGATAGGTGGCGCTCTTGGACTGTGCTGGGCGTTGCCGTCATCTATCAGAGACAGGCAGTCGCTGCGGTGGGTACAACTTAGTATTTGCTAAATGTATACTTATATTTTGGCCTCCAAGATTGATGATGTTGTAAATTTGTGAAGGCTGAAATCCAACAATATTAAATTAGCCAACGTTTAAAGAAACTAAGAAATGTAACATAATGTTCGCATATGGTTTGCTCTGTTAATTCTTACTCAAACACATTCATGTATATGGTCAGACAGGAGTCTAAATCTCTCCTGCTATCAAATCACAACACTGGTTACCATGGTGACAGACGTCTGGTTCAGGTCATTGACCTTATTGGTTTGGAGAAGAAGAAAAAGAGGAAACAATATGCGCATGTTTTCCTTCGGTAAACATAACAAAAATTGCTTTCTTTCACCCAACACCGTGCATTTAACTACTCGTATTTGACAGTGTTTTCTCAAAAACTTTCCAGGCGTTTGCCGTGTTGACCGCCATTGCTTACTGCGTGGACGCCATCCTGACCTTCAAAGATCGACACATTCAAGTTGCTGTGAAGTGATCATCGAAATGTGTAAACGAAACCGTGTATCGTATGTTTTCAAAATAGATTTGGGGGTAGGATTATAGATGTTAAGCACTAAGATGCATTATGTATCACACATGCCGTTTTGAATTTGCTTAATCTGCAACAACAATAGTAGTACTTGTTTCTTATGTTTCGTGACGTAACATGACGTCAGAGAGACTTACATACGTTCCAGAAACAAAAGAGGATTCTAAAAACAAATATAACCATAAGTGCCTCAAGCTAAGACATGTTTGTTCAGTAAACATGGGCCTTTTGTAATTTCCTGTGTCCTTATCCCAGACTACATTGTTTCCAGCCATCTTGTTTCAAATTATTTCCTTATACACGAGCAGAATTTCCACAGAATGATTAAGGAAAAAACACCTTCCGCACTACCACCTTTCTCTATAGTATTTAGCTTGCTGGGTTTTAGAAAAGTACATGTTTCCTGCGAATGGCATGATGATACATGTGGCTGCTTAATTGATTTATCGTTTGATTGAACATTCCTTCATTTGAACGCCGATGTTTGCGAGCTTGGTTTAATTGTAGCCTCTTCCAGGTTTCTGGAGGCGGCTAGAAACAGTAGAAATTGGCCAAATAGACAGATAAACATGTCAGGGAATGTGGTACGCTAGAGAGTACAGTTTGTGGCAAATTCTACTCTCTAGCGCACCAACTCCTCCGGCGTGTTATCTGTCTATTTGGCCAATATGTACTCTTTGCAGCCGCCTCCCGAAGCCTGGTAGAGGCTAAATTAACTGCAAGCTGTGCACCTGTTGCCTTGAGCCACAAATTTGTCTCAACGATGTAATTTTGCGATCATTTCGGATGTAAGACGAACGCCCCTGTGATTATAGCGTCTTAACAGCAAGGTTAGAGGATGTCTTCATAGCCGGATGGATATTCGAATTCGTGTCAACAACAAAAGGTGTCTTAGCGCCGGAAAGAAGACCCACTAGACGAGAAATAAATGCGACATCACGCCAATTACACACATTTTCTCCGAACTGGTGCCCGTATTGTCTCAATTGTTCTCTGATAGAGTCCATTCCATGTCACCGCACGGGTGTTTGCTCCCATTGTTTCCAATTGTTTTGAAATTTTTGTAACCATTTCTAAGAGAATCTCATAGTTTTCAAACATTTCGAACTTGGTTTTAACTTTGTAAACAGTTTTCCCAAATCATAAAACATTCGAAACATTCTAAAAGCCATAGGAAGCCAAAAAGCCATAGCCTAGCCAAAGGAAGTAGCGAAGGATCGAAACATTTTGGGGATTAACAAAGAAAAAGACGAGCAGTTCCGTACCCTGGAGATTAGATTAAAAGATTAGATGGACAATTTTATTCTCTGGTGGTTTATTTGTAACCAGAGGATTTCAAACACAAGACAACAGGTGCTCTATATAAGGACTAACATTAAAAATATGTGAGGGGTACGGACAGCTCACTTCTGTCTTGACGCTGTCTTGTACAAAGTATTAAGAAGACGAGACTTTATGGCACCTAGGAGATGGAGCATTAGGTGAGTGAATTTTCAGTTGGTTGAGTTTTTTAACAGATACACATATATGCTTTCATTGACAATTGAAGTGCATGAATATTTGTAATGTACTCTTTGCACATTCTAGATGGTATCCTGATTTTGATATGATATGGCTATTTAGAATGTCCGCTTTGTTATTCACAATTTTACTTGAAACCAGCTAAGTACTTGTAAAAAGCTATAGTACAAAGCGGGAGTTATAGAAGATTATGGACATTGAATCAACGAGAGAGTAGCACATTTGTAGTAGTGTGACAGTATTACTAAAAACAACAATTTATGTATGTATAAACATATTTTGGTGTTTACGGTTAGCAATATGAAGGCGCTTGTGCTTTCTAAGATAGTTGTGTTAACTAAGACACGATTCCACCATAGCAGTTTGTATATATATCTTTCCATATGCATGTTTTGAGAAAAACGCATATCTTCTTCGGCCATCAGGACATTCCAATGATGTCTTGTCACTGCAATCCTTTAATCCGGCGCCAACAATATGGGAATGTCCAGAATGTCTCATACAAACAGCATACTGACCATTCCAAGTTATCATTGAGGGGAAAGACATGCTTTTGATTAGGACATTAGTTGTGTGAGAAGAACTGATATTGGGCAAACGCCTCATCATTTTATCTACTACGATTGACACGCATTTTTTTAAAATATCTTTGAACTATCAACATTAACCACAGCCCTAAACGAAGCCTTTCCCCTTTATTTCAGCATCGCCACGGAAGGTCGAAGGCCAGGAGGGAACGACCATGCCATGCCAGCTTCTCCAGTCCTGATGAGTTACACCGTGGACTCGGTACCGGTATGACCTGTCAGAACAGCCAGCCTGAGTGAGGAAGGTTCACAAGCTCCAGAAACTACACGGCATAAAATGACGACCGTACCCGTGTAGAGTTGAATTACAGCACTACCAGCAGTTACATGGATATGCCACACAAAAAATGCAAGACACAACAAAGTTCTTCAAAATACTTTCAAAATGAAGTACGTTAACAGTTTGGGTGACTGATAGTAGTTCTATGTATATGCGCCAGTAGTGTTACCGCTGAATAGAAGTTTTCCATTTTTTCTATAATTCTACCTAGGCTAGCTAGACCTTGTATCCATTGCATCCCCACAGGTGCTCTCTATAAGCATGTTTCACGTCTGGTAGCACAACAGACTAAGCTGCACACAGACCAGTGGGCCGCGTGCATCGGGCTTACTTCGGGCACTTACCCGGATTCCGTCGCGCTTGTGCCGGACAACTGGTGCGCTCCAACGGGCACAGGGAACATCACACACTGGTCGTCTCATACTCTGTTGCCGTGACAATATACTTCCATACCACGATGATTGACACTCATACATTGTTCAGACAACAAGTTGGGATTAAGATATCCGTCTGTGTTATGTGAATCATGTCATTGAGCATCTTCCTCACTCTCTTATCATTCAATTTTTTAATCCCTGCAAAAAATTGGTGCCCCCCCTACTGAGTAGACAGCGCTGTGGGATTAGGACTATTGTCTGATTTCAACAGAAAAAATCAATTTAGCTACACCTGAAGAAAAAATTTCAGGCTGTCAAAAAAGTGTCAATGAAGGTAGATCGGTAACAAAAATTGCACCGACTGCACTCATTGATAACATTCTATGATACAGGAGAAATATTGTTTTCGAGAAATGGCTCTGAAATTCCTAGCAATTCTTTATCTAAATGAGTGCAGAATGATAATTTAGTGCGTAGTAGAATTTTGGCAATCGTGAAAAGGATGGTGGCTAAAGTTATTCTTTTCTGTTGATAGTTTTGTACAGGTTTGTTGTATGAAAAGTCAGAGTATGAACGGTGTAGGTGTAGGTATATATATATACATATAATATTACCTTATCGCTCCGTCCATGTGAATGATTAAGGATATAATACCTGAAATTATAATAACTATCTGTAATGTAGGTTGGCAGACAAGGGAAGAGTTCATATCCTAACTATGGCTGCCAGTATACAATATACGCACAATAATCGTAATGGCAGGCTAGGTTAACGTTGTCGATGGGGTAGTAGGTAGACATATTATAATATATGTGTATGACGATCGTTGTAACGATATGTTAATAAGAGATTAAGACAAGAGTACAGATATAGCACACATACACACACACGCGCGCGCGCACACACATAGTACACACACACACACACATGTGCACACAAACACATACACACGCGTTTACACACACACACACATGCACACACACACACACACACACACACACACACACACATACACACGCGTTTACACACACACACACACACACACACACACACACACATGTACACACACACACACATGCATGTGTACACACACGCACACACACACACATGTGCACACACACACGCAAAGACATACACACATGCACAGACACACATACCTTTGTCATGCTTATCTCTTTTGACAGTAAAACTTTTATTATAGAAAAATAACGTTCTACTGTAAGTTAGCTTGGGTAATGAGTGCAAGTTGCATATGTACAAATACATACGTGCTTACTTCAAATAAAAATACAGGACAAGCTAGGCAAAGAAAATGAAGTATATATGTACATATTGATTTTTTCTAGTACTAAGGGTTACGAGCAAACAACTTAGTAACTGTACAGTAAGAATAAGTTGCGTTGAATACAATAAACACAACGCTTGATGAAAGTAGCAACAGGACTGCATGAACTGAGCGCAGGACAACATGAACGCGTCAACAACTTATTACAAGGTAGTACTAAATGAAATCGCAAGGTGGCGCTACTACACCATCTTCAGGCTTGTTATGCATCTACATGTACATGTAGGGAACACCGAGCAAAACCATGATTTACATTTCCTACATTTTGCATGTCTTTAATCGAGGCACGTCACGATATGAGTCTATATTATATTTCTTATAAGCAAAATATGAAAGTATATACGTTTGAAAGACAAAAAATTATGAGAACCAGATCTTGATCTACAGATATACATTTCCATTTGAACTTCCATTAGTTATAGATTATTCGATATTTGAACATGCCCTGTACATGTAAATGTTATTTTCCACCACTCTATAAAGTGTTTCTTTATTGAATAATATGTTATTTTCATATAGAGTTTCTATATAGTTTATACGAAAACATTTATTTTACATGTTTAGAGTTAAAACTTTGGATCGAACACAAAAAGTTCTCTCACCCAAAGCTTCCGACCAGTCACTCTGGTCTTCCTCAGTAGACTGGTCGAAAGCTCTAGGTGAGAGAACTTTTTGTGTTGGATCTAAAGTTTTAACTCTAAACATTTAACTACCAACACAGATGAACTTCCATGTCATTTATTTTACATAAACCGTAGCCTCTTGATGTTGAGAGACTGTACGATGTTGTTCATGCCCCCGCCTTCCCTCTTGCTGAACGCCTTGCTGATGTACTCCGGCACGGTGAAGCCCGTCTGCACGCTGATGAAGCCGTTCCACAGCGCGAAGGCCGGGTACAGCGGCTCCGCACGATCCACGGTGATCTCGTGAATCAAACTCTTCTTCTCGGCATCAAAGAACGCCAGTCTCCCAGAATCACAGTCCACGTACACTCCCACCCTCTCCAAATGTCCCAACAAGCGGATTTTATCCTTAATTCTATCATGGCGCACGGAGTATTCCTCAATCGTCCTGTCCAGGCACCACGACAAAGGGTTGCTACCAACGAACAGGTCCCGGGGGGTGTTCTTCAGGGCCAGCCCCACGCGGTAGGAGGAGCTGAAGCTGACATCCACCTCCCAGTAGTGACTCCCCCGGGACAGCGCCACGTCACCCAGTACTGCAGGGTTACCCGCGAAGTTTCTCCCATCCATAAACCTGGATAAGGAATAATAGTTGATAAACATGATACAACGATAACGCCAATGTTTCCCTACTTCATACACCTACTTAGGCCACACCGTCTTAATTTTATGGATGACATCCTCTGAAGACCCCCAAACTAGTGCGCGCGGGCGAATAAAAAAAATTCCGGCGAAAAATTAAAATGCTACTATACCACGAGAATACAAAGCTGGTATTTTGAATTTGCGACGTACACGACAAGCCGGCACATGCTGGCTTTTTGCGAAGTTTTGAATCGGCACTGTACGAATGTACTGAGATCTGGAGCTTCGTGGAGCTTCCGGGGGTGTCGTCCTCCAGAGTTACCACCGGCTCCCTATTGTCGCTAACTAGCATGGACTACCCAAGCCTAGATAGAGCCAAGCCAAAGGGATAGTTGAGTTGTTTGGGACTTTTGAATATAAAAATCTTTGAAAGATTGCACCAGAAGACTAGCCACTACTAGCGTGACTGTACAGATCTAACTGTCATTCCGTAAGGAGCCCAGGAGCTGCCCAAGATAGAACCCTCACTGATAAGTCATCAGGACTGGCACGTTCGGACGCCGATGTACCGATAACGTATCACAGTCAGACCACATCCCGACTAGAGATTCCAGATAGTTCAGGCAGATACTACCACAGACACGTCCATACATGGAGGTACAGTCGTCATTGTGGAGATACATGAGATATCCGCGGGGCCACCTTCCGGCTAAACTTGAAGTTGAGCAATGTTTACTGTTAATCAAAGTTCTGCTCTAGCTGTATCATGCATGCAAGCATGAATGAATGAATGAAGACCTCTTTATTTTAAATGCATCCAATGCGATTTCAGAGCAGCAAATCTTGAAATATTCTGAAGAAGGCAATCTTCATGATATTGACACATACTGCTTCACATTATCACATTTCAATCAGTATTTCATACGTTGGGTGGGTATTTAAAACTGCAGAAACAAGCCACTATACCATTGGGATAGTGTCAATATACATTGGGATAGTGTGGTTTGAACTCAGTATGTAGATAAGTGACTAGAATATTTATTGACTTTGAAAAATCAGGTCTCCAAGCCATAAAAACTGCACTGGATGCCTTTAAGACTAACATATGTTAGGACATTCGATTTATATCTATACCTTCATAACCCAACAGAACCAGAGAGCCCGTTACCTTCCTCTCGTCCTATCGGCGACCTTCTTGATGGTGTCGGTGTCCTCCTGTCGGTCTCCCCGCTCGATGGTCAGACCGTCCTCCAGGATCCTCAGCTCCCGGTGGGCCGTGGTCCGGTCCAGCCCGAAGCTCAGACCTGTTGTGGTCATAAAAAAAGAAGCAGAACTTGAAACTCTACCACTGGGTAAAATTAGGAGATCACTTCCAGACGTTTCAAGTGACATCCGTCAGTCTTCTTCCATGCCATGGATAGGTTTGGTCCAGATTGACTCCAGCCCGAAGCTCAGACCTGTACAATCACGGTAACAAGTAGGAGAACTTAGTCACAGAAAAATCAAACCCCACTACTGGATTTTACTTAATTTATTACGAAACCTTTAGCCCTGCTGGGCTAATCTTTCAAGGCTCAAACACGATAAATATAAAATGGCATAACTACATGGCACAGACAAAGTACAGTAAATACATTAAAAAGACATACTTACATCACTATATCAACAGTAAACACACAAATAAACATTAACCTAAAAGTAAAGGGCGAGGGTCTAGGTGACACTGTTTGGATAATAGCTGTCTTGAAGCTGGGTAGATCACAGTGTCTTAACGTCCAAAGCACAATCACACGATCACACGATCCAGAAAGAAATAATTGAATACGGAGATAACTTTCGTAAGCTTCGAGTGGCATCCAAAACTCTTCTTAGGCGTCACACTATTGAACTAACAGAACTGGTCAACACTTATATAGGAGGAGAACTTAGATTTGCTAGGAGATATTCAATAAATTGACAGTTAAATTATCAAACACGACCATCTGACAGTGACGCACACTATACCAGAGCTGGATCAGGGGACGTTTCACCTAGTAGAGATATAACGTTACCCTCCTCACATGAAATAAATTCAAGAACCTATCCTGAAATACGAATTGATACATAGTCTGAATGACTGCACCTGGGGCATCAGTTTGAAGTGATGTCACCTGGGCCAAAGAACTGTAGACCTTTGCATCGTCAGTAGATTCCTGCCACGTAACCTTAACAACCGTGCTGATGTTAGAATCCATGCCATGGACGTGGCCAGTTCCAGAGCTGGTAGAAACGCTAAAGTAAAACTACAAGTTCCTACAGGCCTAGCCTCCTCCGTTGTTTCGTCAGAGTTTAGGCAGACTTTTGCAGACGACGTCGCACTGACAGAAAGGTGTCCAGACTGTAGCGTATCCCACTAAAACATACGGTCTTCCTGAACGTCATAACTTGCCAAAATGTTGAATCTCTTCTTCTACAGATGGGCTTTAGACGCTATTTGACCCCGTTGAATGCTCTGAATTTACAGAAGCCCTCAAATTCTTGACCTTAGACCTATGTACAAGCCGCCATGTGGTCGGGGTTTCAGTGGGGTTATCCAGGCCTGATAGCAATGTACATGTATGTGCTCGATAATGGTATAATGTTTGCAAATATGGTGATGACCATCGTTACAGCCTTCTGGTCAGCGTTTGAGCAGATTGTTTTAATGTCCGTAATCTCAAGAGGTCATCTGTCCACAGAAATAGAGAGGGAGGAGATTGAAGCATGTGCTACATGTGTGTAATCAGAAGAATATGGTGTAAAATAATGATTATGGTCAGCTGTTGAAAGAAGTAACATTTCTCTATAACCTATCCTCTGGCCGCAAAGTTGGACTCCCTCCCTCACAAACGAAACGTTGCTTAACATTGTCTCTCTTCTACAGATTCTTTCCCCGGCGCTGTCCAGAATATTTTTGTTTATATTCCAACATCTATTCACAAGACGTGGTGACGACACACTCAAGTTTTTTCAACTTATAGTAATGCCGCCACCAACACAGGGGACAATACAATACTCATTTTCACCTGAGCGAAGTGGGGAAAGTCATGTTAAGTGCCTCTCCCAAGGGCACAAGATCGGTGGCATATCAGGACTCGAACCCGGAACCTCTTCGGTACGAGTCAAGAACTCTGCCGCTACGCCAGTGACACTACCCCACAGAAGGAATTTTGCTAATCATCCCACCACTGAGAACATTTCAGCGTGCCACTAGGTTCTCCTCCAGTTCACATCGTCACACCGTTCAAATTCCTGTTTCAAAGTCCTTCTACAGCAACAGTTTCTTTCCCTGGACTTCAAAATTATGGAACTCCCTCCCACTGACACATCAGTCGAATACAATCCTCAAGATTTCAAAATAAAAATTCACTGCCATCTTTGGCATATATCTGTTGTACCACCCGGTGAGCTTAGTGCCTTAAGAAGTGCATCATCAAGTTGTTTCAATATAAGTCAATACCATGACCATGACCACATGGGTCTCTGTCACAGTTATTTCATATGGAGGACCACACAATAATAGCCGCAGCCAAAATAGAATTTCTAAAGCCTCACCACAAATAGCCTCTTTGACGCAACAGGATACATAAAACAGAAAAGATACGGACTATATAGTGCAAGAGGATCACCCCTATCCGTAAGTTAAAGACCAAACGGTATGAGATGAAACTTGTCAACAACGCCCGTTCAGGGAGGCGAAGGGCAAGCGGAGGGCAGGCGGAGGCAAAGGTCCTGTGACCCGTGCACCGTACATAGATATTGCGGTGAAGCGTGTTGTTGAAGATCTGGTAATGATTGGCCCCTTTGACCTATTCCTTACCGCGTACGTAATAGGGGTCGGGGCAGCTACCAATGTGAAACACGTAGTGAAGATACCGATACAGATACAAATGTACATGGTGACTGATATCTATACTATAACTATATATAGGTTTGGGTTTGGGCTTATATCTTGCGTGTTTTTAGGCTTTTTCTCTTGGACTTCCTTCATTACACTGGTATCTTTTCTACGCCCCCCCCAAAAAAAGCGTAAAAAAGGTACCAGTGCAAAAAAGATCTAGAAAGCCCTATAAAAGAGCCTAAAACATACAAAAAATAGCCAAAACCAAAACTTCTGCTTGGAAAGTATGATTTCTAGGCAAGTATTATTTCCATTGGTGTTATGAATATGATAGGACGTTCTCTGATTATTTTTGTCCCAAATAACTAGAGACGTTTGAATGACAGTGTTCCCTGACAGAACGGTTGGACACGCATAGGCTATGTCGGACCTATTAAAGCCCTTCATCAAAAACATAACGACATGTCTTCCGTATCCTACAGTTGCTATTTATGCACGTCTGGTCTCATACTGGCACGTGTAGCATGCAGAGCAAACACAACAGTGGGTCTTCTGAATGTCGACAGTACGATAGATGGCAACTCCATGAAAAATACAATAGAATTGCATATAAATGTACACGTACATAAATGTAAGGAAAGGAAAGGATAATCAAGAAAGGAACATAAATAACTGGTTTTGTCTGTGCAAATTGTCTGTGTCTTTGTGATTTCACGACTTTAGAAATTGGGTTTGTCTGTGACTACCTCCGGATCCATTCGTCAAAGTTTCACTCAAGGACCACACACCCTTCGGTTTCTTTTCTCAATCATCTTCCCCCTCCTTGGTCGTGGACTAGTCCTGCATTGGTGCCCCCCCCCCTCCAATAGGGGTCAGGCATGCCCTGCGTCAGCACTGTCCTGGGGACGAGATGACTCAAAATAGAACACCGCAAAAATATTCACGGGGTTAACGGAACTAGGACGACCGTATGCCTTAGGGCCGGGCCTAACCAAATCAACTACAGAGAAAGGGGATAAAGTAGATAATACCTCTACATCTGGTATTGTATATATTCTGAACAACAATTATAGAATAAATAATAAGATTGTCAACGTTGTACTCTTTGTTTCGCTATGGCATCATGCAATCTATGGTATGCCCCAAATCCCGAGGGAATGCTTTCTATATTCCCGCCATTTTGATTCATGAAGCGATGTCGGTGGCTGACTTTTATGACCTTTCACATGACGTCACTTTGTATCTGAGTCCCAAATTGAACAATGTCAGAAATAGATGAACTTGAGCATTTGCACTACACTGCACTTGGGGCATGGCTTTTCAGGATACTTCGATTTGTGGATAGACAATATAGTGTGCAAACACTCGACGGTGTTATTGTAATATCTCCACCCTCCATAGCATGCTATTATGTAACGTTACTGCGTTAACGTTTTTGATGCTTGCCACAATATAATTTTAACAATTGAAAAAGACAATGCCAGTCAGCAAGCCGGATTAACTGGCTACAAGATACTACCATGAAACCGCACATCGAAGAACAACGGCACTTCTAGCTGGTCCATGTTAAATTTCACTACATTCTCTCTACAGCTGCGTCTCGTCCTCCTCCCCCTAGCGGTATTGTCTTACACCTACATTTATTTTTATCCATTTCTGATTAACAGCCAAGCGAGACGGTGTAATGGGTTTATCGCACTGCAGCATAACATTTTTGTTTTGTTTTCCACACAGAACATTTCGCCACCAAAATACGTAAACACGTAAAGTAACAGCTCCGAAAATACAATATAGATTTCACCATCAATTTATGACCTGACACAGAGTTGTTGGTATAGGATTTCTCTCTTAACGTAATTCACCTGTGTTGTCAATCAAATTTAGTACCTTTGTAGGCCATATTTCACCTCACAGTTATGGTACTGTCTAATATTTTTCAATTCATCTATGACAGAAAACATCTGTATTAAACAATGATCTGGCCTGATCTGAGGGAAAGAAGGCATAAGAAAGTACACTAACGTGTAAGTTTTAAACATCAGAGTTTCCCATGGGTTGTACATTGGGCACGAAGCCCGTAAGTAACCGAACAGTCTTACGAGTTTAGCAGACTGTTACAAGCATGCTTGAAACATTCCCAAAGAGCAATTGCAAGCTACGAAACAGTTCTGAAATGCTCTTGAAATATATTTTGAATATAAATTGAATACACGCTTGATTCTTAATTATAAAGGCATCCAATGCAATTTCAAAGCGGCAATATGGTACTGGAAATATTCTGAATAAGGCAATCTGTTCTGAATAAGGCAATCTGTTATAATATATATTGATACTGCCCCACGTTACTAACTGTCGTTAGTACATTTGCGACAGTATTTCATACCTTGAGCATTATAAACAATGCAGAAACAAGCCCCAAAATGAGTCTTTTATCTATATTGAATT